CTTTCTCTCTCTCTCTCTCTCTCTCTCTCTCACACACACACACACACACACACACACTAAGGTTATGGATGTAATTGAAAATGTCTTTTAAATAAAAATTAAAACCATGAATTTGAATTGCAATAGCAATTCAAGAATGCAGAATTATAATTAAAATAAAAAAGTGGAATTAAAATAGAATTAAAAGGAAGTCTATAGAAATACATATAAATCTTAGAAGTCTATTTTTCTATAATTTCATTTTTCAGTATGACTTACCTTAAATACCAAATATGTTATTATACACAACATATAGGGTATTTCCAAAATCATTAGTTCATATTGATAATCATATTTAAAATGGCAGCTATAAAAAATAAATAATTTTTAGACAAATATATAATTCTATTTTGTGTATTTTAATATAATTCCATATCAAAACATTCCTCTTCTTGTCATTCAATTTAAATTCCAATTCAACTTTCTGTGAATTTTGGCCAATTCAATTCAATTCAAATTCACACTAATGAACTGAAAAATGCCTTAAATTCAACATTTTGTGCACCCCTGACACACAAATCAGCACATACAAACAATAAACAACAGCAGACACATACCCTGGACTTCGAGTTGTCCATGCCCAGCTCCACGTCTTTTTTCAGGCGGCGCCGGCGACACCGGAGCAGGTTGATCAGTCTCTTGATACACAGATAGAAGGACTTCGGACTGGGGACGATGCTGAATGGAGGCGGGAGAGTCTTGCCGTTGTCAAAATACGAGAGCCAGAGTTTAGACCGAGCGAACTTCCACTCCACATCTGCATCATCCTGCGACAAACAGACTGTTAGATCCTGTACAGAACTACTAGAAATCATCATACCATAAGAGGCTGAGGCTTTGACATGACTAGGGATAAGGATTAACCCTTATGTTGTGTTATGGTCATTTTGACCCAGAGACAATCTTCTTTTTCCATAAAAATGCTATTTAATGTTATCACATTCGACTAAAACGTACCGATTTTGTTCTGGGATTTTTCTCCACCTTGTTACACTTGTGGTGTTCCCATTCAAAAATGACTGGCCTATAAATAAGTTTGATAATATAGCATAATGAGACATTTTAAAATGCCAATCATTTTTGACTGGGAAAACTGAATAAGGTAAACGATTTTCAGCACAGCATGGCAAGGGTTAAACTAAGGTTTAGTGTTGTATAAGAATTACATTTTCGGTCAGCGATAGATGCTAAATGCCTCTTCTCCAGAAATCTGAAGTATGGGCCATTTGCACAAGAATAATTTCTCACAGACCCCGTCTGTGGTCCTCAAAGGCTCTAATGGCGCTTTTCCACTGCATGGTACGGCACGGTACGGCTCGGAACGGTTCACTTTTTGGGGGTTTTCCACTGGGTACAGTACCTGGTACCTGGTACTTTTTTTAGTACCACCTCGGTTGAGGTTCCAAGTGAACCGTACCACATGTGAATAATCCCGCCCACTCTAAAGCGGTACTGAACTGCAGTGGAAACGCAAACCATGCCGAGCCGAACCGTGCCGTGCCGTACTGAGCCGTGCCGAGCCGAGTCGTACCATGCAGTGGAAAAGCGCCATAAGAGTCCTTCTGAAAGATTACAGTCATTTCAACAGCAGCATTAAAAGCTTCAGACATCATTTTCTCCCAGGGGATTATTGGAAACACAGAGGACAAGTCTGATCTGATTCCAGACTTAATTTTGCCAAAGAAGCCTTTAAAGGAATAGTTCACCCAAATATGAAAATTTCAAAGATGTAGATGAGTTTGTTTCTTCATCAACAAGGTGCCGTCAGAATGAGAATCCAAACAGCTGATAAAAACATCACAATAGTCCAAGAGTTATCCTTGTGAAGTGGAAACTGGCCAAAATATGAGTACATAATCTATAATAACTCTTCCTCCATTGAAAATGTCCATCCCCTGTTGTCTCTCACATCAAAATCCACTGACATATTCGATTAGAAATGAAGCTGTAAGCGCAAGTCCTGTTTGAAAGACTATAATGACAAGTCATTCATTCATATTAATAGGTCTGGCCAATCACTGCTTGACACCTAAGCACTGAACTCTTTCATTTTTGAATGAACTCTTTCATGACGTTTCCCTCCATCCTCCCCACCACCACCAGGTTGGCCCTGTCCATCCATGGGGGTAGGCTCCGCCCCTGCCTTCATCTTCAGGCAGGATCCGCCGAATCTGCATCCCCATGATTAGGACTAAGGACGGGGTCTACGCCAAAGAACTTTTCTATACAACTATACATGAATCATTGTAACTCCATGTTATAATAAAAGGAATAAATACCATGCAAATGTTCATCTTCCTTCTGAGTCTTTCTGAATAGAACTGTTTTGGACTGTTTTTGCTTGTAAACGGTGCTTGTTCTGTGCATATTTCTCCCATGATTCAGACGAGACGACTTTTTTACAGGAGGAAGCAATATTATGGATAAAAGTAATGTTCAGTTTCTTGCACAGATCGATCGTTTTGCTTCATAAGACCTCAGTAAGTCGTCAGGAGCCACGCGTATTAATTTTGTGTTCCTTGATATGCTTTATTCTCAAAGACAGGCAGCCGCTGACTTGCATTTTATGATTCCCAAAAGACCATGGCTTCATCCAAAAAGTGTTCTACTCAAAAAAATAAAAAGTCCCCTATATCTTGGATGGCTTGAGGGTGAGTAAATTAAGAGCAAATTTTCATTTTTGGGAGAACTATCCCTTTACAGATGTCTTAATGATGGGTTTGTTTCTTACAAACACATAGCTTGTCACTTCACACTACATTAACTGAAGGACTGGAGTCCAGATCTGTTCCCATGAAGAAATAAATTCATCTGCATCTAGGATGGCCTGAGGGAGAGCAAATTTTCAGCAAACCTTCATTTTTAGGTGAACTATTCCTTTAACGATCTGTAACATGAATTTACTCTTAAAAATAAAGGTTCATATTGAACCTTTAACATCCATTGAATCTTTCCATTACACAAAAGGTTCTTTATAGTGGAAAAGGGTTCTCTAGATTATTAAAATGTTCTTTAAACTAAGAAAAATGGTTCTTTTAAGAACGGTTTACTGAAAGGTTCTTGGGGGTACCAAAAATGGTTCCCCTTCAGGAACTCGAGCTGCATCGAAAACGCTTTGGGAATGTCCCCAGCGTGACCATGCTCTGAATCACATATGAAATAAAGTCCCATAGATGGGCCAGACGTCATGGGCAGGTGACGTTGCGACTAGGAAGCTATAAAAGCACGTGCGGTGGAACTGGCGTCAGCTTTTTGTCATTCAGCAAGCGCTCTGTGTGTGTGTCAGTCGCTATCTGTTTGTGAGTCTTATTTAGTGTTGTTTGTCCTCTTATAAGCTCCATTATGCCAAGCTTCAGCAAAAAGAAGCATTTGGGCAAGAGCAGACAGCATTCAGGCTGTGTATCTTCCCTGCCCGCGCTATATTTCGGGTGGGGACACACACAGTTTGTGTGTTGTCTGCTTGGGAGCGAAGCACGCAGAGTCAGCTCTCTTGGGAGCGCTTGTTACTGCCTTGCTCTCCGAGGGCTCTCTTTGAGGAGGGAGCTTTCACCGGCATTTCTCGCGGCGCCGGCCCCGCTTTCGCCAAGGCGGAGCGGCGGCTGTGCTCGTGGGATGGATCCGGTGGAGGGAATGTAGACGGGCGAGTCCCTATCTTCTTCCTTAACCACCAGATCCAGCGCCCGCTCTTGGGGTTCGGAATCCCGCGCTGCGGTTCTTTCCCCCCGGTGAGAGGGCTCGACGCTCCGCCTGTCTTCCTCCGAGGAGGTTGATATGGAGGGCGTCGACGAGCTCGCCAGTTGCACAAGCATCAGTTACGCAAGCATCAGTTACACACGCATATTATGCCTAATATTATAATGAGACGCTTACTGTGAAGAAAAAGAAGCGGAGCTCGCGCAGTCAGCTCTCGGGAAAAACAGCGGGGCTGATTGTGCTATACCCGCGCACAAGCATTATGTCTGGGGAGCGAAGCTCGCGCAGTCAGCTCTCTGGAATAAGGGGCAGATTGTGCTTCTCCCCGCCGAACGCTCCGCTCCCGCCGGGCACGCAGTGTGTCGGCTTGCGAGCTCGCGGTTCAGTCCCGCTATTGCTGAGGCACGGTGGCGATTCAGATCGCGGGGATCGCACGTGGATCTAGCGGATGGGTTGGAGACGGCTCGCCCTTTCTCCGCCTGCACTCCCCAGATCCAGCGCTCTCTCTCGAGGCTCGGAAGCTCGCGCTGCGGTTTCTTCCCCCTCTGAGCGATAGCTAGCTGCTGCGGCTATTTTTCTCCAAGGAGATTGATATTGTTTGTGTGACCAAGCGGCTCGCGCGCTGCCGAGGCAACGCGTGTATTACATAATTTTCGATTTTTGATATGAATTTTATTACACCAGACCGTGTTTACTCGTCTGGTTGTTTGATTGCATTTAATTCTGAGGAATAAAATGAAGTATTTGTCTGACTATGAGAAGTTAGATATACAGGGGCTCTTGGGATAAAAATTTCTC